GTTGGTTTCTCACTTCCTAGCCGGTCAAGGCCGGCCCTGAACGCCTTTCTTTCCACTTCTCATTTCCCAAGCGCTGGGATTGCAAGCATAAAGAAAAGATGAGTACCCAGTTCACAGTGTGGGGAACTGAATTCGTCTGGGGGAGAGAGTTTTTTCTCCTGTTAGATTTTTCTCTTTTATTTGGTGTGGTGTGTATGTGTGATTGTGGTATGTGTGCATGTGTGTGATGTGTGTATGTGTGTGTGTGGTGTGGTATGTATGTGTGGTATGGTGTGTGGTATATTTGTGTAGTATGTGTGTGTGTAGTGTGTATGTGTGTGTGGTGTATGTGTGTAGTGTGTGTGTAATGTGTATGTGTGTGTGATATAGGTGTGTAGTGTGTATGTGCATGTGGTATGTATGGATTGTATGTGTGTGATGTGTATGTGGTGTGTGTGTGTGTGTGTGTGTGTGTGTGTGTGTGTGTGTGTGTGTGTAGGTCAGAAGTCAACTTGGCGAGGTTGGTTCTCCTGTTCACCTTTACATGGGGATCAAACTCAGGTCATCCAGCTGCACAGCAAGTGACAGATGACATGCTTAGCCCGCTAGCTGCCCACCCCACCCCATCCCACCCCTTTGGAGACAGGGCCTCAAACTTGGTATGTATGGGAGGCTGGCCCTGAACTGCTGACCCTCCTTCCTCTGCCTCCTAACTGCTGGGTTTATACACACAGGGCTCTTGCTTTTTGTAACAGCCCTGCCAAAATTTACACACACCCTGGTGTGTCTTCACACAACTGCCTTGGGGCAAGGGCTGGCATTTTCTAGTAAAGTGATATGCCATTCATATACTGTGACTCAGGACTGCAGACCAGAAAAATGTCCTTGGGAATGCAGAGTGCACCAGGTAATGGACCTTGCTGGTGCACACCTTGAATGCCAGCACTCAGGTACAGAGGCAGGTGGATCTCTGTGAGTTCAAGGCCAGTCTTGTCTACATAGTGAGTTCCAGGACAGCATAATGAGATCTTGTCACACAATAATAATAATAATGATGACTTAAGAATAGACATACACTAGAAACAATTCAGAAGCCTGTCAAGGAGCAGGCGAGGTGCTCAGTGGGAAACTGCACTTGGTGCTGAGCCTGAGCACCTGAATTGGATCCCTGAAACTCACACAGTAGAAAGAGAACTGACTTCCTCAAGCTCTCTCTGTCTCTGTCTCTGTCTCTCTGTCTCTCTGTCTCTCTGTCTCTCTCTCTCTCTCTCACACACACACACACACACACACACACACACACACACACACACACGAATTAAAATGTAAAAACAAAAATTTGAAAGCCTATTACCAGTAAAATGCATAGACCCATTTCTTTAAAAAAATTTTACTTGTATTTGTAAGTGTGTGTGTGTGTGTGTGTGTGTGTGTGTGTGCGCGCGCGCGCGCGCGCGCGCGCCCACGAGTGCAGGTACCCACAGAGTCCAAAAGAGGCTGTAAGAGCTGGAGTGACAGGAGGTTGTATCTGTCAAACACAGTGCCGGGAACTGAACTCCAGCCCTCAGCAAGAGCAGAGCCGCTCTTAACCCCAGAGCCACCTCCAGCCCCAGGGAAGAGCTTTTTTTTTTAAACAAATTTATTTTCTGTTGGTGAATGTGAGTGTGTATGTGGAGGTCAGAGGACAACTTTTGGAAGTTTGTTCTCACCTTCCACCTTGCTGAGACAGGATCTCTTGTTTCTGCCGCACAGTTTACTCCAGGCTAGCTGGCCTGGTGGCTTCTAGAAAATTCCCTGGTCTCACCCTAGCAGTCCTGGGATTACTGCTTTCCTTCTTTTTTCTTTCTTTCTTTCTTTCTTTCTTTCTTTCTTTCTTTCTTTCTTTCTTTCTTTCTTTCTTTCTTTCTTTCTTTCTGTCTGTTTTTCTTTCTTCCTTTTTTTTTTTTTTATTCTGGACATCAAATTTAGGTCTTCAGCTCTGACCTGGCTTTATAATTGTACCATGGACTCCTAGGCAGCAATGAAAACAGGTGAACTGTACTTCCTGACAACACAGAACGGTGCAAAGCTAACACAGAACTAAAATGCAAAACCCAAAGCATATCTGACATGACCTATTTACATAAATTTTAAAATCAGACAAATCCAAATTGTACTGTAGAGCATGAATGAGCTAGGAAGAATCATGAAACTATAATGGTAGCTTTAGACTATCATTAAAAAAATGCAAGATTGGGCTGGAGAGATGGCTCAGAGGTTAAGAGCACTGGCTGCCCTTCCAGAGGTCCTGAGTTCAATTCCCAGCATCCACATGGTGGCTCACAACCATCTGTAATGAGATCTGGTGCCCTCTTCTGGCCTGCAGGCATACATGCAGGCAGAACATTGTATAAATAATAAATAAATACATAAATATCTTTTTTTAAAAAAAAGCAAGATTGATCCCCCTGAGGAGGAACTGAGATGCATAACTGAGACACAGGGACACCCATGGTGCTGGCAGTCTGCTGTGTCTTGGTCTGGGTGGGGAAGAGAGGACAGGTGTCTGTCTCATAATTACACATTATACCATATGTTTACGTCTAGTGCATCTTTCTGTGCATGAGTTATATTTCACGGTCAAGTTTTTAAGCATCTTTTTGGAGACAAGTGCTTGTTCTGTAGCCCAGGTCTCACACTCCTGCCTCAACCTCTTGAGTGCTGGGGTTACAGGTGTGCACTGGCACACGGCACTCAACTAGCGTTCACTCTATCTTTATTAGTCACTTTTCTGTTGCTGTGATAAAACACCATGACCTAAAGCAACTTATGGGAGACAGAGTTTATTTGGGCTATAGCTCTGGAGGGGTACGAGTCCCCCTTGGCGGGGAGGCCTGGCTGCATGTGGCAGACATGGCCTCAGGAGCAGGAGGCTGCTTCAACACAAGCCCTACAGTGAACAGGAAGTAGAGGGAGATTACAGGCCCCGAAAGCTCCCCGCAGTGATCTACCACCTCCAGTAAGGTCCCAACTCCTAAAGGTCCCACAGCCTTCCCAAGAGTGCCACCGACTGAGAACAAGTGTTCCGACATTGGCACCTATGGGGGACAATTTCTCATTCCAGTCACAGACTCTTCCTGCTTAAAGAGACAGACGACAGGTCCAGACCATTAACGAATGTTGCAGATCCCCTCCCCAACACTCAGGAATGCTGTACTCATCTAAACTTTTTGGTTGGTTTGGTTTGGTTTTTCAAGACAGGGTTTCTCTGTGTAGCTCTGGCTGCCCTGGAATTCACTATGTAGACTAGGCTGGCTTCGAACTCAGAGATTCACCTGCCTCTGCCTCCCAAGTCCTGGCATTAAAGGTGTGTACCACCACTGCCTGGCTTATACTTTAAAAAAAAAAAAAGATAGTTTCACAGAAGAGCGGCCCCTGCACCTCACCTGGGCAGCACAGTAGAGCTGGCCCTGGGTGGTGTGAGTGCAGGGGGGCTGGCCCTGAGGATGTGAGAGCAGAACTGGCCCCACTCCATGCTGCCTGTGCGTGAGCTAACCTGGACAGTGCTGGGGAGCTTGCCCTGGTGGTGTCGACGAGGGAAAGTTGGCAGGCTGACAAACCCAGCTACCACCCAGCCCCAGAACCAGGACTATGAGGTAGCCCACCCCAACATCCATCTCATGTATGAAGTGCTGGAGCATGTGAAGGGGCCAGACCTGCAGACCCAAAGCTGCAGGACCTCCATGACACAGGGCAACAGCAGGATGTCCAAGAGGAGTCCCAGTGAGGGCCCAGGATTTCGGGAGCAGCAGAAGCCAGAGGCCTCGAACCAGACCAACGATTCATTGCAACGAACATTTACAGGTAAAGATGTGTAGCCTGAAGGGTGAACTGTGTCATACTACAGCTTCTTTCTTTCATTCTTCTTTTCGTATGTTAGTTTGGTTTTGTGTTTTTCTTTTAAATTGTATTTTATTGGGGGAGGGGTTGCAAGGGCAGAGGCAGATTTGAAGGGACAGGGAGATGAATGGTATCTGGATGCATGATGTGAAATCCACAAAGAATCAATTTTTATAAAAAAAAAAAATAGTTTCACATTGCAGCCCAGGCTGGCCTGGAACTTCCTATGTAGCTCAGGCTGGCCGCCATCTCATGACAATCTTCCAACTTTAGCCTCCTGAGTGCTGGAATTACGGGCATACACTATCAAGCAGAAATAATATCTTTACTAATATAATAAACTGGTGCCAGGCTTGTGATCTCAGCACTCAGAGGCAGAGGCAGGAGGATTTCAAGTTCAAGGCTATTCTAGGATACATAGCAAGATCTGTCTTAATAATAGCAATAATTGGGTCTGGAGAGATGGCTCAGAGGTTAAGAGCACTGGCTGCTCTTCCAGAGGTCCTGAGTTCAGTTCCCAGCAACCACATGGTGGCTCACAACCATCTGTAATGAGATCTGGTGCCCTCTTCTGACCTGCAGTCATACATGCTTTGTACATAATAAATAAATGAATCTTAAAAAAAAAATAATAGCAATAGTGCTAATAGATAACTGGTAACATTCACTGTTTTCCTTAGTATTGTGAACTGCCAGTAACACAATTTAACCCAGAGACAGGGGTTGGTAGGAGCCATACATAGTTTGCAGCTGGTTGGTCAGAAGTGGATATGACAATCTACCTATTGAGATCTGCTATGAGGGAATCATGGGATCAGGCCCTGAACCTATGGGACGTTATACCACTTCCATGCAGATATCAGAACTGGATTGACTAAAAGGACACACAGCAAGAGGCTGCTCTGGAAATAGCAGGTCTTTCTTGCTTTGCATTAACACAGGACAACAGGGGCTGGAGAGATGGCCTAAGTTAACCACACTTGAAGCTCTTGCAGAGGGCCTGGGTAAGTCTCCCATAACCCACGTGTGGCTCACAACCATCTATAACTCCAGTTCCAGGAGTCTGACACCCTCTTCTGGCCTATGAGAGTACTAGATGCACACAGGGTGCACATACACGTGCAACCGAACACTCATACACATTAAAGAATAAAAATGAGCTGCTTTAATCAGGGCATGGTGGCACACACCTGAAATGCCAGCACACAGGAAGCGGAGGCAGCTGGATCTCTGGGAGTCTGGTGCTAGCCTGGTCTACAGAGTTGTAGCAGGTAAGAGGTCCTTGTACACACAGATAAGCACTAGTGAAACCAGGAAAAGTTAACCGAGAGTGTTTGTCTCTTCAAAGGAAGGAGATGCTTAACGGTCTTCTGCTTGGAATGCTGGGAAAGGATGTAGTTTACAACCTGGTGATCTTGGCCATGTGTAGAGCCAGGTTCACCCAAATCCCCCAGAATATTGTTTGTTTAACACAGACTTTACCCCCTAGATCTTGAGCATTGGTTCTCAGTCCATAAACCATCCTGTGAGAGATGTCACTTATGTCTTACAGCAACCTAAGTGACTTCCATGTTATCTGACTCCCACGGGCATGTGTTTACCTCAGACATTCTCCCTAGACGCTTCTCTTGAGCACTAAGTTTCTAAGTCAACAGAACCATCCTTATGAAAGAAGCTATATGCACTTTGTAAAGAGTTTCAATGTGAACATGTCCTAGTGAACAGGACTGAGTTCACTGTTGTCAGGAAACCTTTTTCCAAAATTGTGCTGTGCTTGAATATGGCTGAACTGAACCCGCGTTGACTCCGGAGGTTTGAACCAGTACCGGATAACTAGAGTTGAGCTGAGCTGAATTTCATTCTTGCCTCTTCTCAGATCGTTTCGCTGCAGGCCGTGATGCTTGCCAGGACCCTCACACACAGTGAGTGCAAGGCCAACCAGGGGGTACGTAGTGAGATGCTTTTTCAAAAATACAAAACCAAAATAAAATAAAAATAAAAAGTAAAACAGAGGACCACGGGACAGAGAGGGTCCTGGAGCTGCCGGCATCTCTCCCAGAGTTTGTACCTTCCTGCCATCAGAAGGGGATTGTCTCCCTGAGGCCGAGACTTCATCCTAAAGATAAAGAGAGATGGTGACGTCACAGATGTCTCCTGAATTTTATTTCTTATTTTTTTACTTTTTTATTAGAAACAAGGTCTTACTACATAGCCTTGGCTGGCCTAGTACTTGACATACAGACCAGGCTGGACTTGAACTCACAGAGATCCTTCTGCCTCTGCCTTCCGAGTCTTGAGACTAAAGGTGTAGGCCACCACACCCAGTTGTATTTTATTTATTTATTTTTGAGATAGTTTTTTGTTTTTTTTTAAATGTTTGTTTGTTTGTTTGTTTGAGACAGGTTTTTTTCTGTGTAGCCCTGGCTGTCCTGGAACTCGCTCTGTAGCCCAGGCTGGCCCCGAACTCACAAAGATCCACCTGCCTCTGCCTCTCGAGTGCTGGGATTAAAGGCGTGCGCTACCACCACCACCACCACCACCACCACCACCACCACCACCACCACCACCACCACCACCACCACCACCACCACCACCACCACCCCCGGCTGAGATACGTTTTTATGTAAAGTAAGCCTGCTTTTCACTCCCTGTGAAGGCAAGGGTGACCCTGGGCTTCTGACCTGCCTGTCTCCATCTCCCAAGCACTAGGATTATAGGAATTCATCAGCACACCCAGGGTTACAAAAGACTGGGATCAAACCCAGGGCTTCACACATGCTAGGCAGGCGCTCTACCGACTGAGCTATATCCCTACTCCGTTCCTAGCTCATTTCGTGCCTCTTGACAAAGGCTGTACTTTGGTAAGCAGTCAAGTGCGGCGACCTTCCTTCATACACAATCCTGCCCACCTGGAGAATGAGTGCCGGGACCAGCCTCGCCTCCCCTTCCCCTTCCGCCCCTGGCAAGAGCAGACTGGCTGCAGGGGCTCCCTGGAGCCTGGCCTGGCCCCTCCCCCTTGCCACAGGAAACAGTCCCCACGCTGCCCTGGCTGTGTCCCCGGAGGCCTCCTCCTCCTTGCTTACAATCAGGGAGACAGGCTGCAGGAGCGGAGCAATTTGCTTAGGGCTGGAGCTGGCTGCTAGCGGGGGCCATCTGTTCACAGGCTGTGGGGAGGCGCAGAGCTGTCTGAGAAATGACCTCCAAGGCTCATCCTTGGGTTGCTTGGCAACTAGCAAGCAGGGACTAGTGGTTTCCTGTCCCTCGAGGGAGGGGGGCAGCTCCCGAACTCAGATTTCCCTGGGAGGAGCGGGTAAGGGCCAAGGTGGGATGAAGGGCCCAAGGCCACCTGTACAGCTGACACTTCGGTTGCTTGGCATCGCACCATACAGCGCCCGCCCGTCCTCCGGCTCTCCGGGTCCTTCTCCTGACACACACACAGGGACACTGCTCTGTGAAGACCCAGCCTCACACAGAGATCCCAGGCCGGTTAGCGCTTTTGCCTAGGAGTTCCAGAAGGCACGGGGAGAGGCAGCTGGTTCCTGCTGAGCTGGGCGGTGTGCGCCCGCCCGCTCCAGGTCTCTCTCCAGTCGTAATCAATTAGGCCTGGAGATCAGGCTAACGTGCAGGTGGGCGAGGGGCCGCCGCAGGGACCCCAGGGACCCAGCCACCTGCTCAGCGGCTCCCCAGAGCTTGCTTCCTCCTCTCTGTACCTTTTTGACGCAGAGGCTGCCAGACACACCCGACTTTGTGCCAAGGTCAAACAGCACTCGGCTCCTACAGGGTCCCTGCTGCCCCACCCGGCTTCCGGTCTCTCCTGAGGCCACACCCACCAACAGAGGCTGAGGGGTGTGGTGGCACACACCTTTAACTTCAGAATGGGGCGGGGGGTGGTCAAAGCTAGCCTCAGCTGTGAGTTAAGACCAACAAGTAAACCTGGGTCCAGCTCCAGGTTCAGCTATGAATGATGGAAACCTGAAATGCCAGAGACCTAAACGAGATAAAAATGCCCATCTCCACTCAAATGTTCAGGAATGCAGGCCGGGTGTGGTGGCGCAAGCCTTTAACGCCAGCGTTCCCGAAGCAAAGGCAGGCAGAGCTCGGTGAGACTGAGGCTAGCCGGGTCCGCATAGTGAGCCCCAATCTCAAAAACAAAACCCCAAATTCAGCCCAGGAAGACATGATATGGCAATCATTAGGGAGCTCCTCTGTCTTGTTCCCAAGTGGTCCATATCTGCCTCTGTCACATGGTCCAAGCTGGCGGCTCCAGCTTCAGCTCCAGCATGGTGGCTACATTTCATCCAGTGGGAAAGAGGAAAAGGATGGAGAAAAGAAGTCGGATTAAGAGAATTCCTGAATTACACTTTGCCTTACACTCCATCTGCAGAGCTTGGTCGTTTCAGCCAGATCTACTGCAGGTTTATTGCAAGGGGATGATGTGGTGTGTCTGCGTGTGTGTATGTGGTGTGGTATGTGTGTACTCTGTGTGTGTGTGTGTGTGTGTGTGTGTGTGTGGTATGTGGGTGTATGGGTGTGTGTGGAGTATGTATGGTCTGTGTATGCCTGTGTAGTGTGGGGTATGTGAGTGGTATGTGTGTTATGTGTGTGTAGTATGTGGTATGGTATATGTGTATGTATGGTGTGTGGGTTATGTGTGGTATGTGTGTGTGATATGTGGTGTATGTATGTGTGTTGTGTGTGTAGTATGTGGTGTATATGCATGTGTGATGTGTGTGGTGTGTGTGTGATATTTTATTGTGTGTGTGTGGTATGTGGTGTATGTGTATGTGTGGTGTATGTGTATGTGGTGTATGTATATATGTGGGGTATGTGTGGGGTATGTGTGTGGTATGTGTATTGTGTGGCATGTGTGTGTGTGGAGTATGTGTGTAGTATGTGTGTATGTGTAGTGTGTATGGTATGTGTATTGTGTGTGTATGTGATATGTGTGTGTGGTGTGTGTGTGTATGGTATATGTATTGTGTGTGTATGTGATATGTGTGTGTGTGGTGTGTGTGTGTATGGTGTGTGTATGTGTAGTGTGTGTGTTTTACAGTTTGTAAGCGATTTCAGCATAGAAGGAACTCAAAGTAGCTGAGCCTGTGAACGGGAAAAGGCAGGAACCAAAGAAAATGTCTTTCTCCTCAGACACAGAGAGAAGTTGTTGTTCTCAGCGCTCCCGAGGCCACCAGGTCAGCTCTTCCAAGGTCCCTGCCAGGCAGGCCCGGCTAGTCTTTGTTTGCTGAACCCAGCAGATTGAAAGACTGTCTTTGAAGTGGGTGTGAGGAGGTGTGTGTGTGTGTGTGTGTGTGTGTGTGTGTGTGTGTGTGTGTGTAAGCCCAGCACTCCAGGGGCTGAGACAGGACAGCAGCAAGTTCAAGGCCAGCCTTGGCTGCATGGTGGGCGCCTGGCTCCAAAGAACAAACAAAAGGAGCTGGGGAGATGCTTAGTCAATACAGGGCTCACTTGTTCAACTCAAAGACCTGGGCAAGATCCCCAAGACCGGGCTGGAAAGATGGCTCAGCAGTTAAGAGCACTGTTCTTCCAGAGGACCCAGGTTCAATTCCCAGCACCCGTGTGGCAGCTCACAATTGTCTGTAACTCCAGCCCTAGGGGTACAAAAACACCAATGTATATAAAATAAATAAGTTATTATTTTTTTTAAATCCCCAGAACCCACATAAAAAGCAGAGCATTAATCCCAGGGCCAGCAGACAGACAGGACGATTCCTGGAGTTTGCTGGGCAGTTAGCCTAACCAAACTGGTGAGCTCCAGGCTCAGTGACAGACGCTGTCTCAGAAAACCAGGCGAAGAGTGATTAAGAAAGGCACCAACATTGCCCTCTGGGCTTCATATGTGTGTGCAAGCACATGCACACTGAATCACACATGCATGCACACACAAAACACACCCATGCACAAAGACAAAGACGCACAGAAGGTTCAGACCTTGCTACATGTGTCAGAGCTGGTAGCATCGGAGCCGAACTGCAAAGCTGTCCATTGTAAGTGCAAAGCTGAGATTCCCAACACCCTCCAGGATCCATCCACCTGTTTTTTTGGTTTTTTTTTTTGTTGGTTTTTTTTTGGTTTTTGGAGACAGGGTTTCTCTGTGTAGCTTTGTGCCTTTCTTCTTGGATCTCACTCTGTAGACCAGGCTGGCCTTGAACTCACAGAGATCCGCCTGGCTCTGCCTCCCCAGTGCTGGGATTAAAGGCAAGCACCACTGTTGCCCGGTGGATCTGCCTGTTCTACCCAGGTGGTGTGTGAAGACCCAGGAGTCTGTGGGCCTGACAAGTGAGAACCGGACCAAGCTGATGGCTCATGGCCTGATGCCACAGGAACTGTGTGGATTCTAAGAATTCAGTCATGTGCTAAGCACGATTGTCCAGTGACCTCTTGCCCCTAGACCTCCAATGTACCCCTCTCCTCAGTGGCCCTTATACCCAGGAGGAAGGGGGACGCGATGGAGGGAGAGGGGAGTGCGGAGGATCCAGGTTCAGTTCCCAGCACCCACATGGCAGTTCACACTGTCTGCAACTCCAGTTCCAGGGGATTCAGTAGCCTCTTCTGACCTTCTAGGCACACACATGGTGCACACACATACATGCAGAAAAACTCATACATAAAATTAATAAGTATTATTTTAAAATTAAAAAGAAAAACATCAAGCAGGGTGGTGGTGCACACCTTTAATCCTAGCACTCGGGAGGCAGAGACAGGCAGATCTCTGTGAGTTCGAGACCACCTGGTCTACAGAGCTAATTCCAGGACAGTCGGGCTACACAGAGAAACCCAGTCTTGAGAAAACCAAAAGAAAAAAAAAAAAAAAAACAGAAAGAAAGGAAAGCATCAATGTGTGCAGTTGAGAAGTGGGCACCCAGCTTGCCTCCTCTCCACCATGTGTCCCTGGTCCAGTGATGGGGACTGAAGGAGCCATGAAGGTCATGGAAGCATGCCCAAGGTCATGGAAGCATGCCCACACTCATGCCAGCTGTGAGAACACAGCTCCCACTGTTACAGCTAACACAGTGCCCAGCGGACGCCAGTGCCCCAGGGAAGACTGAACTCTGTTCCTGGTGCCTTTAATCAATGACAAAAGCCATTTTTTTTTTTTTTTTTTTTTTTTTTGGTTTTTCGAGACAGGGTTTCTCTGTGTAGCTTTGCGCCTTTTCCTGGAACTCACTTGGTAGCCCAGGCTGGCCTCGAACTCACAGAGATCCGCCTGCCTCTGCCTCCCGAGTGCTGGGATTAAAGGCGTGCGCCACCACCGCCCGGCTGACAAAAGCCATTTTTAAACAGCAAATGAAACATGGTGACCATAGAAAATGAAAAATTCACAGTTAAAAAAAAAAAAAGTGCCCCACAGGGCAGGGGTGCAGCTCAGAGCAGGAGCCCGCTGTGCAGTCCAGGGCACCGTCCGCAGCAGCGCTGGCACCAATAAAACAACAGTATTCCGAGGATCCTCGTAGTGACCTGTGCGGTCCTCTCTTTCCTCAGAAGGGCCTGGGGTTTGTGGCTGTCCCCCATCAGCATCTGCCCTGACCCACCATGGTCCCTGTCACCAAGCATGCGAAGACAGTGATTGCTGAGCACACAGGACAGAGGTGGGAAAAGGGTCCCCCAAGTGCATCCAGCTCATCCCCGGCCACTGGGGAATTTCACACACCAACGTGTCAGAACTATCTGAAAGGTAATGTCAGAGCTGCCAGCCCTTGTCTACGCCTTTCGACACCTTCCCATGGTGCTTAGGAAAAATCCGAGGTCTCTCGGGCATCCTGGGTCTGCAGCCCGGCCTCTGCATAGCGGCTGTTTTCCTGGACAATTATTCAACCCCGTGGCTCAGTTCCCTCCTTGCAGGATGGGGCTTTAGGGGGCACGAGGGTGTTCAGTGGGGTGCTAAGAGCGAAGGTTGCACACGGACAGGCTGTGGTGAAGACTAGTGGCTGTCTCTATTGTTTCGTCCTGCTCTTCCCCTGGCTCTCTCCTTAGGACACACCCAGCAGCCTCCACTTCACACCCACACATCCTGGGCCTCCACTTCGAACCCCCACTTCACACCCACCCTACACCACACAGTTCCTGTCAGTATCTAAAAACCAACAGAACAAAGCCTCCCTTCAGATGGCGTTTTCATTTTATGAAGGGCTGTGCGTGGAGGCTCTTTCTGGAATCCCCCTCTGGCTCATCAGTTAAAATGGGCTTTATCTGCCCCAAATGCATACCTGACAGAGACATTGGCGATGTCGTTGTTACACAATATCCAAACAAAATCAGGCTTCCTCGGCATTGACTAGCAGGTCCCCAACTGCACATGCATCAGAATCGCCTAAGAGGTTAAAA